TGTCCGCGGCTCCGGGCGTCTGCTCTCGCTGGGCGCGGGGCGACAGGGCCGAGGGCGGGGTGGGGCGGGAGAGAGAGAAGCGGGACCGCGCACAACTTGGCTGCTTTCCCCAGAGTTACCTTTTCTAGCTTATTGAATCTTTGCAGAGTTTTTCTGTTATTCATTACATACAAGTGGATACATCTCTATACATACTGCCCCCCTTTCTCCCCCTCTCCGTGTCCTTCCCACTGAGCTACATCCCCAGCCCTTTCTTCTTATTATTTTTTAAAATTTTATGGCAGAGTCTCACTAATTTTCTAAATTGCCCAGACTTGGTTCAAATTTTGATCTTCTTGCCTCAGACTCCCGGAGTGCTGGGATTATATGCATGTATGCATTTTTTTTCTCTATACACAGGTAGCCTTGCTTTATTCTCACAATCAATTTTAGAGGTTGTTATGTAGCTCATATCATCTGTTTCTTTTCAGTGCTGTATAATATTCCATCTGGTTAATGTACTGTTACTCATTTAATGATCCAGTATGGATGGACATTTAGGTCCTTCCCACTTGCAAGTGGTCAGGCACATTAAAATGAGTTATGTTCTTGTTGTTGTTGTTGTTTTGTTTTTTGTTTGGGTTTTTTTTGTTGTTGTTGGGGCAGTGGTACTGGGGATTGAACTCCGAGCTTCATGCTTGCAAGGCAGGCAGCGGCACCACTGAGCTAAATCCCCGACCCCCAGAATGTAATTTCTGAATCAACAGCTCTAGGCATTTACAATTTTGAGAGCGATTTTCAAATTGCCCTGTGTAGGAATTGAGTGAATTTATACTTTGACAGCCATATATAAGAAAATATTTAAGCCAGGAATGGTGGGGCATGCCTGTAATCTCAGAACTCTGGAGACTGAGGTAGATGGATCAAAAATTGAAGCCCAGCCTGGGTGATTTAGTGACTTAGCCAAGCATATCTCAAAATGATGATGATGAGGAGGTTTTTTTTAAAAAGGAAAATGTTTTGGTTTGGTTTTATGACAGACTCTCACTAAAGTCAGGCATTCACATGAGCCACCACACCAGCTCCCAATCCTTTTTTGGTGGGGGGGGCTTCTGGTTTTTTTGAGACAGGGTCTCACTATGTAGTTGAGACTGACCTGGAATTCACTATGTAGCCCTGATCTCAAACTCACAGAGATCCTCCTGCCTCAGCTCACAAATTCTGGGATTACAGGTGTGCGCCACCACACCCAGCTTTTTTTTTTTTAATGGTGATACTAGGGGTTGAACCAGGTTCTAGACAAACTCGCAGTGATCTATGTTCCCAGCTCTTTTGCTTTTCATTGATTTATATATTTGGTACTGGGGGTCGAACACTGAGCTATGTCCTTACCGTGTTTCTGTTTGTTTTTGAGAGCGTGTTTGGAGGAAGTGGTCCTCCCCTATTGGGGATGGCCATCCTCTTCAATTCAGTGTGCAGCTTCAGGAGGGTACACATGGAGCAGTGAGGGAGGAAGGGGTCACCTACCTAGCCAGCCAGATCAGGCCAATCAACGCTGCCCATCGATGAGATGACAGACTCTGCAGCCAGATCGCCCTCCAGTCTTGTGTGCGTGTGTGTGTGTGTGTGTGTGTGTGTGTGTGTGTGTGTGCAGGTACTGTTTGACACAGCTCGGATGGTAGTTATATATCAACTCCTCAACATTTCCTGGGGATCTGCTAGACAGATTTCTGCTTATCTAGAAATCCACTTCAGCCTCAGGAGAAGTCTCCAGTGTTGCATCCAGCCAGAACCCCAATGCCCAAAAGGGCCCTGTTGACCCCTAGGGGGCGGCAGTGTCAACCTCAATATTCTCTATTAATTTTTTTTTTTTTTTTTTTTTTTTTACACTGGGTCTCCTGCGCAGGCCTCAAACCCCAGATCCTCCTGCCTCAGCCTCCCAAGTACTGGAATTACAGGTGTGCACCATCTAGCCCAATGCCAGCTCTTTCAGCTTGCTTTTCTTTTTCTTTTCCTTCTTTTTTACTGGAGATTGGAGCCAGGCTTTCACACTGAACTACATCCACAACACTATTTATTTATTTGTCTGTTATTATTTTTGTTGTTGTTGTTGCTTGCTTGAGGTAGGGTCTGGCTATGTAGTTTGGGCTGGGCTTAAACTGTATAGCCCAGATTGGTCTCAAACTTACAGAGATCCTCCTGCCTCACCCTCCCAAGTGCTGGAATATTATAGGCATGAGGCACCACACACAGCCAAAACACTTTCTTTATTAATTTATTTTATTTATTTTTTGGTACAGAGGATCAAACTCGGGACCTTGCACTTGTGAGGCAGGTGGCAGAACCACTGAGTTACATCCCTGGCACCTTTTATTTTTTATTTTGAGAGAATATCTTGCTAATTTGGATTCTCCCCACCTCTGCCTCCTAGAGTGCTAGGATAACAGGTGTATGGCACCTTGCCCAGAGCTAGTTTCTGTTTGTTTCTCTTGTTTTTTAACCCTAAGAAGGACCATCCTGCAATGGTCTAGTTTGGAGATCCTAAGGTAAGGGGAATGGGCACAGCGGAAAATGACAGCAGGGAGTGGACATCAGGAGCACAGGGGAAAACTGTGCCCAGGCTGGGGATCCCTGGGGATCAGCTCCTCTCCCAGGCTGTAGGCTGATCCTCCCCACACTCACAGTTCTCCCTCAGCAAATCCCACCCTTCCTTCGGGGTTTCCACGGGGCCTGGGGTGGGGCACTCAGCCACAGGATGGCAACTGACTGCTTTTAGCACTGTTAAAGCTGCCAGAAACCTATCACCGTTGCGGAGTTATCCCCAGGGCAAGATCAGGACCTCATGCCACCAAGGGACTGAGCCCCCCTGGGTCCTCCTGGGTTCCCCTGGCCACATATGTCATCCTGAAGCATGAGGCCCCTTCTTGGGGCAGTTTTCCTAGCCTGCCTTTGTTTTATGATGATGCGTCTTTTGCCCTGTGGGGTTAGCAGAAACCTACAGCACAATCCAGTGGTCCTATGATGGACCTGCCCCACATCGAGTCTGCCCAGGTCGGTGACTCCTCATGGCCCCCACACTGACCTGTGTCTCTAGTTTCATCTCTAGCACCCCAAACTCAGCAGCCCCCTCCCCACTTCCTGAGTACCCCCAACATCCTAGGCCTGGTTCTGCCTTGTCAGGGTGTCTTGCCAGCCGTCTAGGAGGGCGCCCACTGCAGGCACCTCCATGTGTCTTGGGGAGGCTGGGACAGAAGGGTTCACTGACCGCCAGGACCACAGAGAGCAGGACTTCCACTCTGCACTGGAGACCCTGTGGCCTTGGCCGAACCTGGCAGGTCTCTCTCATAATCCTACATCTCCACCTCACACCCCAGCACAGCCAAGCCAGCCTGGCAGGATTCAAACTGTGCCTAGTATTAACTGTGTGGCCTCTCTGAACCTCGGTTTGCTCATCTGTAAAATGGATGCCTAAAAAGCTATTGCAAAGAATAAAAGAATAAGTGTGCGTGAAGCCAGGGCCATGGTCATGTATGGGTGTCTCTGGACTGGGCGGGTGCCATCGGAGCATGTGTGTTTAGGAGAAGCTGGCTTTCTGGAAGCCAAGGGCATCAGGCTCTAACAGTCATCCTCGCAGCGATGAGGCCTTGCCAACTGGCAGCGATCAGCCATGGAACCACAGGCAGCGATGGAAGGCTGACCCGAGTTGCGGGTGCCCTCCGCGCCGGGTCCCCACCCCAGCTGAGCCTCGGGGTGCAGGACTGCCTGCTCCTCCCACCCCCCACAGAGCCGCTGGGCCCCACTGTGCTTGGTGATAGATGTGACAGCACTCCTTCGGTTCTGAGTCACTCCTTCATTTCCCTCATCGTTACCGCACAGGGATGGAGCTGAAGAAATGGGCCTCGTCCGGACAATGAAACGCCCTGTGGGGTATGGAGAGGTTGGTCAGGGAGGGCTTCCTGGAGGAAGGAGCACAGCACCGGGATGTGCGGAGATCGGAGTTCTCCTGGGATAAAGACAGGTGAGAAAAAGAAAACAATTTAAAACAGATCCCGGCGAGGGTGGGGGAGACGTGGGAGGGGTGGAGCTCGGTGAACAGGGAGACTGAGCGCTAGCAGGACTCTGAGGGCCGAAGGGCGCGATGTAGGTTTTCCTTCTTGGAGAGCGAGGTTTCACGCAGAGATTCACCTCCGCTGTGCAGCCCCGGAGTAGTTCTGGGACACAGACCCACCCGCGCCTGGCCCCGTTTGGGGTCCGTCGGGGGTCCCTGGGATCCGTGAGG